ATCGCTTGAACTTGGGAGGCAGAGGTTGCAGTGAGCCAAGATCTTGCCACTGGACTACAGCCTGGGTAACAAAGCAAGACTCTGTCTCAAAGAAAAAAAAAAAAAGGAAATATAAAAAACTGATTATGCTTTAAGACACAAAGAAAATTACAACACATTTCAAAAGACAGAAATCAGGCCATTTCACTATTTGCAATGCAGTAAAATTAGAAATTAAAAGAAAATAACAACCATTGAGAGATCTATCCATGTTAGACTGGGTGTGGTGGTTGACGCCTATAATCCCAGCACTCTGGGAGGCTAATACGGGAGGACTGCTTGAGCACAGGAGCTCGAGACCAGCCTGGACAATGTAGTGAAACCCCATCTCTGCAAAAAGAAAGAATATATATATATTTTTAAAAGTGATCTATTCTAGTCGAAATTAAGAAATACCCTATTAAATATACATAATAGATTTTATATTATATCCTGATTTCAGAAATATTAATATATGAAAAAGGTCATTTTAGGAAAAATACCATATGTCTCTGGTTCTTAAAGATTATCCTTAGACTCCTGCTCCCCTCATGCAAGCTGCAATCATTTCTGCCCCTATTTGTTAGGATCCTGAATGCCAATAAGTCAACAGTCTCCTCCTCCAGACTTTTCTTTACATTTCAAGACTCAGGGTAGCATATTTTGGGGGACAGGAACAGTGCTAAATATATTTGCCTGTTAACATATTTAATTCTCACAATAACCCTGATGAGAGAAATCCAGTTTAGAGTGTGTAGAGTAACTAGCTCCATGAACATCTGTTAATGAAAACCTCAGCAGGGACAAATAATTTGCCCATGTCTTGTCCCATTAGAGACAGAATTCAAACCTGGCTGGCTAGACAGCCTGTGCCCTTTTCTGTACATCAACCTGCATGCCAGTATTGTGTTCAAAGGTGTTTTCCCTAGCTTGGATTCCTGTGGAAAAGTTTAGCAAGACCATCTACATACCAGTCCATATCCCTTAACTATGTTAGACTAGTAAGAGTTGATCTGTAAAATCTCAATGCTTATTCATTTTCTTTTTCTTTTTTTCTTTCTGTCCTGAATGGTGTTAGAGAGAACACTATCTCACCATTTCTGCAGGCTATTTTATTTTATTTTTTTGAGACAGTCTCACTCTGTCACCCAGGCTGGAGGGCAATGGCATGATTTCGGCTCACTGCAACCTCTGCCTCCCAGGTCCAAGCGGTTCTCCTGTCTCAGCCTCCTGAGTAACTGGGACTACAGGCACCTGCCACCACGCCCAGCTAATTGTGTATTTTTAGTAGAGACAGGGTTTCACCATGTTGGCCAGGCTGGTCTCGAACTCCTAACCTCAAGTGATCCACCCACCTCAGCCTCCCAAAGTGCTGGCATTACAGGAGTGAGCCACGGTGCCTGGCCCATTTCTTCAGACTTTAAAACCTAGAAAATAAATTAACTGGGACTGAGAAAATAAAACTATGCCCTGCTATGCATGAATCTGGGAGGACACATACAAATAAAGTTAGCTGCAAAGTTAAAGAGAAATAATCTTTCCCTCAAGGACATGCTGTAGCTTTAAAGCATCAAAACACCCGCTTCCTGGAGTGACTACTGTTTTCTCTCTGACTGAGAAGCTTGGTTCCCTGAAATGATAGACTAGAAACCAGTTTGAAATTATGTCAGAAAGAATGAAATATGCCACCCTTACTTGGAACATCTAAGGCACAAAGAAGCAACTTCAATTTCCAATCCAGGTGCAAAGCTTCAGAGGACTTTCTGAAAACAACATTCCACCTTAACTTTCTAGTACCCAAAGAAATGGGAACCATGGCCAGGCATGGTGGCTCACCCCTGTAATCCCAGGACTTTGAGGGGCCAGGGCAGGCAGATCACCTGAGGTCAGGAGTTCAAGACCAACCTGGCCAACATGGCAAAACCTTGTCTCTACTAACAATACCAAAATTAGCTGGGTGTGGTGGCGGGCGCCTGTGGTCCCAGCTACTCAGGAGGCTGAGGCAGGAGGATCGCTTGAGCCCAGGAGGCAGAGGCTGCAGTGAGCCGAGATTGTGCCACTGCACTCCAGCCTGGGTGACAGAGTGAGACTCTGTCTCAAAAAAAAAAAAAAGAAAGAAAGAAAGAAAGAAAAAGAAAAGAAAAAATAAATAAAAGAAATAGGAACCTGTTCTCATTTGCAGTCCAGATCTGATGTTGTCCCACTTTACATACAACCCTATTTTGCTTTGATCCTATCTTTATCTAATTTTCACCTAAATGTCTCTCTTCCCCAAATCCTATCTTTTTTTTTTTTTTTTTTTTTTTGAGACAGAGTCTCGCTCTTGTTACCAGGTTGAAGTGCAGTGGCGTGATCTGGGCTCACTGCAGCCGCCACCTCCCGGATTCAAGTGATTCTCCTGCCTCAGCCTCCCCAGTAGCTGGGACTCCAGGCATGCGCCACCATACCCTGCTAATTATTGTATCTTTAGTAGAGACGGGGTTTCACCGTGTTGACCAGGATAGTGTCAATCTCTTGACCTCATGATCCGCCTGCCTTGGCCTCCCAAAGTGCTGAGATTACAGGTGTGAGCCACTATGCCCGGCCCCTATCTTTTTTTTTTTTTTTTTTTTTTTTGATGCAGGTTCTCACTGTAGCCCAGGCTGGAGTGCAGTGGTACAATCACAGCTCACTGCAGCCTCCACCTCCTGGGCTCAAGTGATCCTCCCATCTCAGTCTCCTGAGTAGCTGGGACCACAGGCATATGCCAGCTTGCCAGACTAAATATTTTTGTATTTTCTGTAGAGACAGGGTTTCACCACGTTGCCTAGACTGGTCTCAAACTCCTGGGCTCAAGTGATCAGACCTCCTTGGCCTCCCAAAGTGCTGGGATTATAGGCTTGGGCCACCGCGCCCAGCCCCCTATCTTATCTTTTCTTTTGTTTGGTGACATATCTCATAGTTTCTCTGATGTGCAGCCTCTCTTGTTGTAGCAAGTCAGTAAACCGTACTTCTTTCAACTACAGGTTTGTCCCTGATGGTCTGAGGCTGATTGGGCTGGAACAATATCATGGAGGTATGGCCAAGATCCTTGCTGCCATGAACCAGAACCCTTGGTAATAATATGCACATCTGGCCGGGCGCGGTGGCTCAAGCCTGTAATCCCAGCACTTTGGGAGGCCGAGACGGGCGGATCACGAGGTCAGGAGATCGAGACCATCCTGGCTAACACGGTGAAACCCCGTCTCTACTAAAAAATACAAAAATCTAGCCGGGCGAGGTGGCGGGCGCCTGTAGTCCCAGCTGCTCGGGAGGCTGAGGCAGGAGAATGGCGTAAACCCGGGAGGCGGAGCTTGCAGTGAGCTGAGATCCGGCCACTGCAGTCCAGCCTGGGCAACAGAGCAAGACTCCGTATCAAAAAAAAAAAAAAAAAAAAATAATATGCACATCTGAGACTTCTTGAGTCTCCGCTGCCTTAGGCCTCTCTGTCCTTGATTACATGGGTCTCGCATTGAATCTGGACTTTTATTATCTCTTTGGCCCTTTAGAGTCATGCTGATTTCTTGAGTCAGCAGGCAGAGCAATTTATCCTTGGGGTTAGGGCCCAAATTCATGAGTTTTTCTTTTATATTTTGTATTTCAAAAAGAGAGAGACAATGTATTTAAAAACAGTTGCTTTTTATATTACTTATAAAAGTAATATTTTTATTTTTGGCCACAAGCCAGCCTCTTGTGGTTTGCCTCCAAGATACTTACACTAGTTCCTGGCATAACTTCACAGAGGACAGTGAATTGTAGAGGCTACTCTGGAGAACTTTGGCTCAAATAAGATTGTTCATTTTAGACATGTCTTAGAATGAAAAAGGAAAAAAAAAAAAAAAACCCAAGTCTCATGAGGAGACTGTCTTCTCTATTCTTTTTCTTTTTTATTAATTTTTTTTCTCTTTTTTTAAATGTTTTTCCTTTTTGTCTTGTCTTTCTAAAAGAGAGATCATTTAGTTTAATGAAAGACTCCCTCCCTCCCAAAACATCCTTCATTTCCATTTGTAGGGGTTTAATAAATATTGGCTGCTTTATTCTATGAGTTGGCAAAATTGTGAAGGGCCCAAGTTACTGTTTCAACCAACCAGGTGTGAAACTCGTGTGTGTGCATGTGTATCCTGAAATGGGTTTTTCTATATCTAAACTTTTTCCCTCTCCTTAGAGCAAAAAGATTATTAGCTTTTCTCCAATAATTGTATATGTATCTATAGCTGGCTCCTGCTTTTTCTTCTCTTTTCTTTCTTTTTTTTAAAGAGACAGAGTCACACTATGTTACCCAGGCTGGAGTGCAGTGGCTATCCATGGGTGTGATTATAGTACACTACAGCCGGGAACCCCTGGCCTTAAGCGATCCTTCTGCCTCAGCCTTCTGAGTAGCTGGGACTATAGGTGCATACCACTGTGCCTGGATTCTTTTCACTTTCTTTTCCTGTTTTCTCCCTCCTATCCTCCCTCAAGAAATTTTAAAGGTGAATTGACTAAAAAAAAAAAATCATTTTGTTGTCATGTGTGCACTCTAGAAAATCTAGTCCACATAAATAATAAAAAATTTCTGAACAGAAAAAGTTAAAAATGGTATTTTGTTATGTAAAAATGCTAACACTATATTTTAATTTTCATAATACTAAAGTTAAATTTCTAATGCTTTAAACTTTCTAAATTTTTATATTGGGCTTCAGAGTCAAATAACTTATTATTTCCAAAAATTGTGTAAGATTGAAAATATAATATGGTGCTTAATTAAATAAAAATGTAATTAATTACAGATGTCTTTTAAAAGATTTTGATTACGTGAAATTCCTGTAATACTATAAAATGTGTTAATTAAAATTTTAATTTCCAAGTTTTAAAAATCTTAAGAACTTATACAACAATTAATTGATATGTGATCTTTGGATACTTGAACAATTTTAAGTTAAAAAATGATATAAAACTCTGGTCATAGCATATGATGGAAAAATCTTAATCTTCTGAGGCTTGTGATGTCCTCAAAAGAACCACTGATGCATGTGTGGAAATTTTATAATATAAAGAAAAAGAAAGGTAAAAAAAAGCCCTCCCTAAGATGGCTGCTGACGACGAACTACTGCTCCCGCTGCCCCCCAGGCTGTTGGAAACCGGCAAACAGATTCTGGACGAAGTAGAAGTAGCGACTGAACCCGCCGGTTCCCGGATAGTCCAGGAGAAGGTGTTCAAGGGCCTGGACCTGCTTGATAAGGCTGCCGAAACGTTACCGCCGCTCGAGTTGTTCAGCCGAAATGAAGATTTGGAAGAGATTGCTTCCACCGACCTGAAGTGCCTGTTGGTGCCAGCGTTTCAAGGAGCCCTCACCGTGAAACAAGTCAACCCCAGCAAGCGTCTAGATCATTTGCAGCGGGCTCGAGAACACTTTATAAACTACTTAACTCAGTGTCATTGCTATCATGTGGCAGAGTTTGAGCTGACCAAAGCCAAGAGCAACTCAGCCGAAAATCACACTGCTAATTCCTCCATGGCTTATCCTAGCCTCGTTGCTATGGCATCTCAAAGACAGAGTAAAGAAGAGAGATACAAGCAGAAGAAGGAGTTGGAGCATAGGTTGTCTGAAGTGAAATCTGCTGTGGAAAGTGGTCAAGCAGATGATGAGCGTGTTTGTGAATATTATCTTCTTTACCTTCAGAGGTGGATTGATATCATCTTAGAAGAGATTAAGAGCATTGACCAGGAAATTAAGATCCTGAGAGAAAGAGACTCTTCAAGAGGTATCAACTTTTTTTAATTTTTTTATTTTTTTTTGAGACGCAGTTTTGCTCTTATTGCCCAGGCTGGAGTGCAATGGCACGATTTCGGCTCATGGCAACCTCCGCCTCCTGGGTTCAAGCGATTCTCCTGCCTCAGACTCCCTAGTAGCTGGGATTATAGGCATGTGCCACCACACCCGGCTAATTTTGTATTTTTAGTAGAGATGGGGTTTCTCTGTATTGGTCAGGCTGGTCTCGAACTCCTGACCTCAGGTGATCCTCCTGGCTTGGCCTCCCAAAGTGCTGGGATTACAGGCATGAGCCACCATACCGGGCCCAAGAGGCATCAACTTCTAACTCATCTCACCAGGAGAAGCCTCCAGTGAAACCCTTCATTCTCACTCAGAATACCGCCCAAGTCAAAGCGTTTGGAGCAGGTTATCCAAGTCTGGCAACTATGACGGTGAGTGACTGGTATGAGCAACATCGGAAATATGGAGAATTACCAGATCAGGGAATAGCCAAGGCAACACCAGAGAAATTCAGAAAAGCAGCTCAGCAACAGGAACATCAAGAAGAAAAGGAGAAAAAGCATGATGAATGAACACTCTACAGAGCTCGGGAGTGGGATGACTGGAAGGACACCCATCCTTGGGGCTACAGCAACCACCAGAACATGGGCTGCAGGGTGCACACCTCCCCCACCAAGGAAAGCCAGGCAGTCCTCTCCTCTCTGGGCTCACGCTTCAGCTGTGTACAACAAAGGCAAAGATGCTAAATCTTGCTTTGCATTCAAGAAAGTGTCAAGTGATTAAAAACAAAAACAAACAAAAAAACCTCTGGTCACTAAATACAGATTTTATGTATTCTTATTTTTATAACGTTATAAAATGACTATACAAAGGATGTGCAAATGTGCTTTTCAGAACAGGGGATCTGATAAAACATAAAATAAGCAAACAAACAAGCAAAAATAAACTGTGCAAATGCTTTGGATGATATCATATATGGGTTTGTTTTGCCAGCTTAACATTTAGGAAGATAGTCTAAAATGTGTACCAAAAAAATTAGGTAGATATTTCTTGGTTTCCTGTCTTCTAGACTTGCCTGCAAAAAACAGAAGTTGGTTGCTTTGGTTAAAGGTGATAATTAGTAAAACAATAAAGACTGTACTCATAATAATTACAGAGAAATATGAATATGTATGCAAGATAATTTAGTTTATTAAATAAATTCTTGATATATTTACATTATAATTTCAAGTATAAATACATTGATTTATTTAATATACTGATTGGATTAATTTTATCTTAAAGTTAAAAGCTTTAATTTTGTAACTTATTTACATAGCCATGTAATTATATATGTCTAATCACACACATATAAATGTATATTAAGATCAATTGAAAAATCATCTATAAATGGTTAAAAAAATTTAAGGTGAAATCAATGTTAGTAGATTTATTAAAAAGAGTAAAATTAGAATGTGGGTTTTCTTTTTGGAAAATGACCAAGATAGTCTGTGACCAGATAACAGCTATTCTTTCTAAACACCAAATATTCTATTAATTCTCTAGACTTCTTGGCATACTCTGGAATAATTTTGACCAAAAATTCCTCACTTTTCAGTTAAGTTGCTAGTAATAACTGTTACCTACTGATGTGGTTTTAAAATACGTATAATAACTTTAACTATCTTTTGGAGTTTTTGTTTGTTTTGTTAGGGTCTCGCTCTGTCACCCAGGCTGGAATGCAGTGGTGCAGTCTCCACTCACTGCAGCCTTGACCTCCCAGGTTCAAGCCATCCTCCCACCTCAGCCTCTCCAGTAGCTGGAGCTACAGGCATGTGCCGCCATGTGCAGATAATTTTTTTTTTTTTTTTAATTTGAGACAGAGTCTCCTTTGTTGACCAGGCTGGAGTGCAGTGGTGCAATTTAGGTTCACAGCAGCCTCCACCTCCCGGGTTCAAGTGATTCTCCTGCCTTGGCCTCCTGAGTAGCTGGGATTACACCACCAGGCGCACAACCATGCCTGGCTAATTTTTGTATTTTTAGTAGAGTCAGGGTTTTACCATGTTGGCAGGCTGGTCTCCAGCTCCTGACCTCAAGTGACCAGCCCGCCTCGGCCTCCCAAAGTGCTGGGAATACAGGTATTAGTCACCGCACCCAGAGGTCTTGGGTTTTAAAAATTATAATTTCTGTTCATACCTTATATCTTCTGACAATTCTTCTTCACTCTGCCTTTATTTTAGGCCCTAAATTCAGAATAATAAAAATGTTAAGATGTCTTTTATCCTTAAAATATCTTTAGGCTTCCTGAAATGACTGTTAGGTATCACAAATATTTGCTCCTTCACTTTCTATGCAGGAAGAATAATTGAAATAATTGTTTGGCCTGGAGAGGTGGCTCCCACCTGTAATCCCAGCACTTTGGGAGGCCGAGGCAGGCAGATGACTTGAGGCCAGGAGTTCGAGGTCAACCTGGGCAACACAGTGAAACCCATCTCTGCGAAAAATACAGAATACAAAAAATTAGCTGGGTGTGGCGGTGCATGCCTGTGGTCCCAGCTACTTGGGAGGCTGAAGTTGGCAAATTGCTTGAGCCCGGGAGGCAGAGGTTGCAGTGAGCAGAGATCGTGGCACTGCACTCTAGCCTGGGTGACCCCAACTCAAAAAAACAAAAAGAAAGAAATAATTAAGTGTGGGCGTTTTTCAAACTTAAACAATGGTGAGGACTATTTTTTAACAGCAAATATTTTTTTAAAAACAGGAAAAAGAGAAGGAAAAAAACCCGTATTTTGTGAATTTTCTATAATGTGACATTTTTATTTTAAAAATAAGTAACTTAAAAATAGATATTACTCAGCCCAGCGCGGTGGCTCACGCCTATAATCCCAGCACTTTGGGAGGCCGAGGCAGGCGGATCATGAGGTCAGGAGATCAAGACCATCCTGGCTGACCCGATGAAACCCCGTCTCTACTAAAAAAATACAAAAAATTAGCCAGGCCTGGTGGTGGGCGCCTGTAGTCCCAGCTACTCAGGAGGCTGAGGCAGGAGAATGATGTGAACCCGGGAGACGGAGCTTTCAGTGAGTAGAGATCGTGCCACTGCACTTCAGTCTTGGGGACAGAGCGAGACTCCGTCTCCAAAAAAAAAAAAAAAAAGATATTACTTAGAACATAGAAATTTACTTAAAAATATTACTTAAAAATAGAAAGTCAAAGAGCATATCAATCATACGCATATTTAATGTATTTTAGTTTGTCTAAATCTCTCTTGGTAAGCCAACAGCTAGCTGGAAGACATGCACTAAGAAAATGGGAAGCTGTTGGTAGAAATAATTTTCGGATATGTAGAGAAATAGCTGGGATTAAAAAAAAAGGACTGTGGGAATCTGGAGTCATAAAGAGACTGCTGTAGAAGGGGGATGTTAGAAAGAACAAAAAATGGGGAATTTAATTTTTTTCACAGGAAAATGAAACAGAAAAAACTGCTTTGGATACAGCACAGAGCCAGTGAAGGATATACAATAATACTTCTGAAACAAAAGGGAAGAAAAGAATGCTCAGAAGTTTGTGTATAGGAGAACCCACCCAGTAGTTCTGCTGTGAATATCAAGAGGCAAGGCTAGGTCTTTCTTCATCAAATGAAAAGCCTGGAGAATGCTGGGCTGGTAATGTCAGCAGATCCATTTACCTACTCAGAACTCATGTTTCCACTTTCCTTTTGAGTTCACAAGGGTGATCTGCTAAGATGGCTAAAGTCTCTGGGGACTTTTTTTTTTCTGAGACAGTCTTGCTCTGTTGCCCAGGCTGGAGTGCAGTGGCGTGATCTCAGCTCACTACAACCTCTGCTTCCCTGGTTCAAGCGATTCTCCCACCTCAGCCTCCCAAGTAGCTGGGATTACATGTGTCTGCCACCATGCCTAGCTAATTTTTTTTTTTTTGAGATAGAGTCTAGCTCTGTTAACCTCCGCCTCCCAGGTACAAGCGATTCTCCTGCCTCAGCCTCCTGAGTAGCTGGGATTACAGGTGGCTGCCACCACGCCCAGCTAATTTTTGTATTTTTAGTAGAGACAGGGTTTTACTGTGTTGGTCAGGCTGGTCTCAAACTCCTGACCTTGTGATCCACCCGCCTCGGCCTCCCAAAGTGCTGGGATTACAAGTGTGAGCCACTGCGCCCAGCCTAATTTTTATTTTTAGTAGGGACAGGTTTTCGCCATGTTGGCTGGGCTGGTCTTGAACTCCTGAGCTCAAGTGATCTGCCTGCCTGGGCCTCCCAAAGTGTTGGGATTACAGATGTAAGCTACCACGCCCAGCCTCTGGCGATTTCTTAATTTACTGTATTTGGTTCTAAAGGAGGACCTTTGATGTTAGCCAGTAGTACAGTATATTGTATAGAAAAAAGGATAGAGGCATGCATAACAACTATTAGCACAAATATATTATATATGTGCATTTTTCTCTTCTAGCACTGATGTTACTCCTGTCAATTAGCAGTTGTGACACACATTGCTTAAAATCAACAGTCGATTCAATAATTGGAAATATAAACTTTATGAATAAAAATTATATAATAAATTGAAGATTTCTATAAGTTCACCCAAAAAGTATAAAACCTCAGCTAATTACATTCTCCTTTGGGATTTTATTCTTGTTTTTTGCTTACAAATATTTTTGAATTTATATTCCTAAAGGCAAAAAAAAAAAAAAGGCACTTATACTAAAATGAGCAACTTCTTTATTTTTTATTTTTTGGGGGGGTGGGGGGACAGTGTCTCGCCCTGTTGCCCAGGCTGGAGTGCAGTGGCACGATCTCAGCTCACTGCAACCTCTGTCTCGTGGGTTCAAGCAATTCTCTTGCCTCAGCCTCCCGAGTAGCTGGGACCACAGGCACATGACATCGCGCTCCGCTAATTTTTGTATTTTCTGATAGAGACAGGGTTTTGTCATGTTGGCCAGGCTAGTCTCGAACTCCGGTCATCAGGTAATCTGCCTGCCTTGGGCTCCCGAAGTGCTGGGATTACAGGCATGAACCACTGCGTGTGGCCTATTTATTTATTTATTTATAGACAGAGTCTCGCTCTGTTGCCAGGCTGGAGTGCAGTGGCACGATCTTGGCTCACTGCAACCTCTGCCTCCCAGGTTCAAGCGATTCTCCTGCCTCAGCCTCCTGAGTAGCTGGGACTACAGGCACGCGTCACCACGCTCAGCTAATTTTGTTTGTTTGTTTGCTTGTTTTTTTGTATTTTTAGTAGAGGCAGGGTTTCACCATGTTGGCCAGTGTGGTCTCAATCTCTTGACCTCATGATCCACCCGCCTCGGCCTCCCAAAGTGCTGGGATTACAAGCGTGAGTCACGGCGCCCGGCCACATTCTTTATTTATTTATTTATTTATTTATTTATTTATTTATTTATTTGAGACGGAGTCTCGCTCTGTCGCCCAGGCTGGAGTGCAGTGGCCGGATCTCAGCTCACTGCAAGCTCCGCCTCCCGGGTTTACGCCATTCTCCCGCCTCAGCCTCCGAGTAGCTGGGACTACAGGCGCCCGCCACCTCGCCCGGCTAGTTTTTTGTATTTTTAGTAGAGACGGGGTTTCACCGTGTTAGCCAGGATGGTCTCGATCTCCTGACCTCGTGATCCGCCCATCTCGGCCTCCCAAAGTGCTGGGATTACAGCCTTGAGCCACCGCACCCGGCCTCACATTCTTTATTTTTAACAGCTTTTTTGAGCTATAATTCACATTTCGTGCAATTAATTTATTCAAAGAGTACAATTCTACGGTTTTTAGTGTATTGACAAAGCTGTGTACCCATCACTGCAATCAATTTCCGAACATTTGTATGCCCCAAAAAGAAATTATTTACCTATCAGCAATTGCTCCTTATTTCCCTCTGGCCTCCCAGCCCTAGGCAACCACTACTGTCTGTTCTGTCTTTATAGATTTGCTGCTGGGCATTTCATATACATGGAATCATACGATATGTGGCCTTGTGT